TTATTATTATTATTATTATTATTATTATTATTATTATTATTATTATTATTATTATTATTATTATTATTATTATTATTATTATTATTATTAATTATTATTATTATTATTATTATTATTATTATTATTATTATTATTATTATTATTATTATTATTATTATTATTATTATTATTATTATTATTATTATTATTATTATTATTATTATTACCATTATTATTATTATTATTATTATTATTATTATTACTATTACTATCTATATTGTTATTAATATATCACTATTGCTATTATTATTATTGTTATTATTTTCTCAATACGTGATGTTATACGGTTACTTTGATTATCAATTCAGGGAATTGTATCATCGATAACCGAAATGGCCGACGTATCCATCGAATCGTTTTTTAAAGTAATTATATTATCCTAAATGTTTATACAAAAACGGCAACGGCCGTTAGTCACATCCATTTCACGATCTTCAGCCTTTGAACTCTTTCGATATTTGTGCAATGTTGTTCTGAAACTATTCAGAATTAAGCTGGTAATGTTGAGTGGATGTGCTATTATTATTGTAATATAATGAATTTGTTATTAGTTTTTCTTTCTCAGGAAAACTTGTTTCCCTTATAAATTTGAAAATGATGAAATCAGGAAGAAATATAAGAAATATATATTCCATTGCTCTAACCTCCTTACCTCACACCGTCACTCTCATATCGCTCAGGTTCTTTGCTTCGTACTGTTTTTCTTTTTTTTTTTAAGTGTTATACTGTTCATTACTGATTTTCGATGATGTTCTTACATATTCCAACACTTTTAATCCATATAAAATTATTGTTATATAAAAGAGTTATCATTTCTGTCGACACCATACATCATTTTTGTGATTACTCCGTGCGTCCCCCCACATGCACACACTCAGAATTTTTATTCTATACACTACTTATGTCTACCCGAAATAGTCAAAAAAAAAAAAGTAATCTGTCACTCCTTCTTACTGTTTAAGTATTTTCAGTTAACTCTTAAGCTCTTTACTGGTTCACAGCATTCTCAGTTTCCAGAATTGCTGAAGATGTTGATAAATAGGAAAAAAATTGGTTAAGAGATAAATGTGTGAAGAAATGCTATTTCCATACAGTTCCGTCAATAGACATAAGTTTATGCAATTAACACCACTTGCACTCAAAAACAGTTATTTTAAAATCGCACTTTTTCTAAAATACATGATGAAATAGAATGGTACTTCAACATAATACTGATCACTTCCGGCTTTTTGAAAAATTCAATTATAAGCCTTGAAATATGAATTTATAAGCAGTAACAGGGTTCAATTTATAAGCAGTAACAGGGTTCATCGGCAGCATATGTTTTAGAAAAAAAAAATCAAAACAAATTTGATTACTTGGACGGGTATTTTAGGATTTTGAAAATGCAAAGAAAAACAACAAAAAGAGGCAATTCACTTCTAAAAATCATTGGTAATACGAATTAATAATTCTCGTGAAAAGTCCCATAACATGATAAAACTAAATTAAAAGTTCATCCAAAGTGAAACGGTGAAGAGCTGGAAGAAATCAGAATATAAGAAAAAATGATGTTAATTTATAACAAGCTTTTAATTAAACAAAGAAGGGATGAAGCGCGAAAGATATTGCGCATGGATAGGGTGCATTCTTTGTCTTACACAAAACCAAAGTTTTTGTTCTTGATGGCTGTTAATAGTTTAGATTTCAGGACTTTTTTGCTCGGATACAGTGGCACATACAACCTGAAAGTTTTAATCGGAAACGATAAGTACACTAACAGCAAGTAAAGAGAAAAACAAAACGTCCCGTAAGCGTCATTTTCTAATTTTGCTACGTTGGGAAAAGGTTGACTCTCATTAGTTCTGAACTTATAAAATTGTTTTAAGAAAAGCTGTATGAAATTCAATTAGCAAATCAATCAGAAAATCAATTTACTATGACTTCGTCTTCCTCAAAAAAAAAACGCACCGGGAAATACAAGTGTTAGCAGTAGGCAGATGAAGATCATCCGCAGGACGCACAAGAACTGTTGGCATTGGTTGGAAGCCATCTTCGCTTGGTGGAAGTGTTGGTGAACCGGTCCAGAAAAAGATCAAATCCTGAAAAATGAAACATTTCAAAAAAATGAAATCTGGTAAAGCAAAGGGAAATAAGAAAGAAGGGCAAGAGTTGAAAATATTTAACCTGAATATTTAATTTCAAAAGTAACATTTATCCCGAAAAAAACAGCATATCAGTAATATCCCAGAATCAGAAGTTCCGGTACTCTACCTGCTTTTCTTGATTGTTGAGCTTGTTACATATTGACCAGAACCATCCTTTGAATTTGTGAAGTAATTCTGGTGATGCCGAACTTTCATCTGTGAATGTTGTGTAGCTCTGCATCAAAGCCATCGAGATCTGAATCAGTGGCATTAAAAAATGTATGTAGAAGAGTGTGGTCAACCCAATCCTATAAATAAATGGCACAGCTGCTTTAATCAGTCTAAAATAATTACCAAATTCTTTAGTATACAGGAAAACTTTAACTGAAAGGGAAACATTTCCTGAAATTTCAAAGAGGCAAATCCTTCTTTACCCTCAAATGACCTTTTGGCCATTATATCAAATATATTCAACAATCACCATTTTATTGTTAAGTACCGGACACGTCCGGTAAAATGGCTAAAGATTAATCGAAAATTAGAAACAAATTTACTGCTCTCAAAGAAAAAAGACCTCCTGTGTTCCGCAAAGCAATAGACGTAAATCCTCAGCAGTCATATTTGCCAGCGAACCAAGCGGGATTACATCATATACACCTTGCTTAATAGCCTGAAGAACGGAATCAGGAAAAGATCTACATTCATTCCCATATGTGAAAAAAACTGATACTCAAACTGCAAAAGATAAACAAACGAACCTCAAGACATTTCAAATGATTTCCAAGCATTCGTGCTTCCACGAACAGATAGATATATTCCACAATATTTTCATGAGTTACTGAAGTATTTGCACCACCTGGTTTCAGTTCCACAGTACCTCCACCCTGACAATAAAAAAGTTTTTCCTCATACTATGACTGAACATACCATTATCTATCAACGAAAAAACGTAACGGAACACTGAGCATTCCTAGACTCATGAACTGCAATCCTCACATTTTCTTCATATTTTTTTCAAGGGTAACGATGTAAACAACCATATTCACACTTAATACACAAAAATAACCTTACTGAAAAAGATGAAGTCATCAAACGTCGTATTTATAGCTAGCGGAGGCCAAAACCTTCCCCGCGGGATCCATCCAAAAGCTACTTTAACAAGCGGAGAATATAAAATTACACCACCAAATATTAGCATAATCAAAAGTGCCACTGTCACTCTCCTTCTACCTCTTAGAAATATAGAACACTCATGCATCATCGAAACAGCGGTACTCTACCACGTAACCAATTCCTTCAACTCCCTTCACACATATTAAAGAGGAATGAGAAAAAAGAGAGGTATTTATAAGGAGTTAGTAAAATACAACTGTATAACATTCCAACTTACTCTTCGTCATTCCTTCTCCTTCTGAATCTCTCCATGCTCTATTATTAAGTGCGGGATTTCGAAACTAATAAGAATTATAGGAAAGTCAAACCGTACCTCCTGTTCAGGAACAGCGACTTCGAAAGTTAAGTACAAACTGCTGATTTGCTCGGGTCGGGTTGGGCCCTCATTAAATACCAACGTACGCATCGATTCAAACAAGATGGGATCATAGAAGGCAAGATCGAACCAGTTGATCGGACGTCCAAGTATAAATTTCAGCACATGTCGGCAAAGATGTAATGGAAATATTTCCATTTGCATCAGACAAATTCCAATCATTCTGTAAAAGCATATGTTTACTTGAAATAAAATTAAAGATCAGAATGCGATCCATTACTAAGCACTGCGTTTTTCAAGCATGACTTTCTTTACTTATCACACAGCAAATACCATGGTAAAAAACTAAAATAGCACGAAATCACTCACCTCCCAACATTTCGAAAAGCATTTAAACGATGTGTCGAGTTTTTGCCAGCAATCGGTGTATAATATCCAGTCTTACTTGGACGATAAAATAGTGGTGCAATATCATCATCCAAGTTAACTGTGCCTGAATCATTGGTAGCTGAAATTCAGAAGATGTAAATATATATCACACTTAATACACGAAATAATCATATATCCTAATTTTTTAATTGCATTTGTCGACGTAAGCTTTCCAGTAGCATAACTAGCATTTTCTCCAATAGACCTTTGTCATCTCTTTGTTTTTGTTGCACGTGATAAACACATAAAAAGTTGAAGCGGTTAAAACGCAGTTAGCCAGTCTATTTGTTCAAGCTATTGTCGAGGCACCAATTTCACATAAAACAGTACAAATGGACAACAAATTAACAACACATTTCAAATTCATACAGTTGAGATTTGGTGTGCTAGAAGCACGTGTTATCGGTCCACTTTTTGCTTGCGTTGGTTGTCCACGATTCGAGGATGCTGATTCGTTAGCACGATCTCCATCTCCACTCCCTAAACCAGCTGCTTGAATCATTTCGGATGCTTCCTCTACCTGAGCACGAAGAAGCTCTTCACTAGCAAGTATCGTTATTAGCTGGTGTGGCTGAAGATCCAGCAACATGCCCGTAATTTTGTTGCATAATTGCTACAAATAAATAAATAATGGAAAAATGAGGCAACATATATATTTAGCAAATAATGACAAAATTTTCATGCACTCGGATATTTGCAATTGTAAATATTAGAATGCATAATTTTCCAAAGAAATTTATAACTTAAACTTTTAGTCTCCAAA